TTGTATGTGTTTGACTTTTGTCGAGTTATCATATAGAGTGTGCCACTTGTTTAGGGCAGTTTTCTTAATAGATCTAAATACTTCCTCTTTGCTTTGTTTAACAGAGGGTGGGGGCAGTGTCGCTGCTTCCGCTGCTGCTTCCTTGGCATATGTATCGGCTAATTCATTGCCGTGAATTACGCCGTTGGTTAAAAGCGTCGACCCTTCAACCTGGCTACGCCCTTATGACATACGGTTGTATGAATTAATGTTGAACAGATCGATAACCTGTTTTAAAGGAAAATACGTTTGTATCTTGAAATAGTTTTAAGAAATATTTTTCATGAATTGAGTATTTCTAATGGTACATGCTATAACCCTTCAACATTATCGATTAATAAATATGACTACTTATCAATACTTACGGAAAGTCCAACGTATTGGTTACCGCTTGCAGTCGACCGCAATGCACGTGTATAATTTAGATCTAGTTTATTATAAACCAGCTTTCGTAACGCAAGCCACTGCATAAATTCGACAACACTGACCAAATGAATATCGCCAACAGTTGGCATGAAACATTGCCAAAATCACTGTATGATGCTATTGCAGTTACCCTCGTTACCTATAAATTACATCTTACAAAGCCAAACTAAAATTTATTGATTGGTCGGCTGAGTTAGGATGATGGTAATCAGAAATTGCTTGAAAATTATACCATTTCTATGTCTTCATTTTCAATTTTAAGCCGATTTTATTAAAGGAGCACGTAGGTTATCGCAAACAATTTCAGAATGTTATATCTTGGATTATGACTATTTTCTGACAATGAAGACAGGTTTATCTTTTAGATCAATTCATTATCTCAAAGGAAATTATATACAGTAATAATAAAGTCAAACAATCTCGGAGATATCTAACTAGCAATCAACCCATCAACACACGTTTTCAAAGATGTTGACCCCATTTTCACCAAAAAATGCAATCATTTTTTACAAGGTAGAGATTAAAAGGTGGATTGGATCGAGTGGATTGGATTCATGTAAAAGGTGGATTGGATCAGGAATCTTCAAAATGTGTAATTTATTATAAAAAAAATTCTGTTGATCTCCCTCTAAACAATTTCCCTCTACAGTATTACAGGTACCTTTTAAGAAATCAGAACAAAGCAATGACAAATACATACTCCAATTAGTTCATGGACACTCTAGCCTTAAGTATTTAACCGCTTTCCTTGTAAATCAACTTTTGTAAGACATAGATCTTTAGAAAAAGAAAACCTGTCATTCAAATTAATTTGTGAATGTTCACAAAACATTTCTGGTATGTTCAGTTTGGATTGAAAACAGATGTTATGGATCTTCAAACCAGTCTGTCTTATGATTTATGAAATGTCTCAAATTACACTTGGAATGAATAAGATCGTGTATCAGAAAGCGGTCATCCTTCTAGCCCACCCAAGCAAAATAATATTACATCTATAATTTGACATTGTGCAAGTGAAGAGACCACCAATCTTCCTAAAGGGAGATCAATATAATTTTTTATAGGAAAATCCATATTTTGAAGATAGCCAATCCAATCCACCTTTTACATGAATCCAATCCACTCGATCCAATCCACCTTTTAATCTTTACCTTTTACAATGTTTAAAATGTTTATAATAATGCATTACTATTCTTTATTTTGATGTATCAAATAGTCCTTGAAAGAAAAATTCAATTGCTTTAAGATAAGTGTTCCCCATGTTATTCCTCCATTGAAAAATCTCATGCTATCCATTGGTTTCAGTTCATTTTGGTTATCCAAATTCAGTATCTTTAAAGTCCCTGGAGCAATCAACTTTTCCTTTTAGGAAATCGAACATGTCTCAAAGCACATTCTAATTATGTATTCAACAATATAATAAAAGGTTGCAATTTTGGTGAAAATTAGGTCAACATTTTTGAAAAATCTGTTGATTGGTCCATTGCCCCTTCAATATATCTTAGATCTGATTAACTAAATCATCATTAAATATACTTTTCTTGAAGATAATGAATGGATCTAAAAGATACACCCATGTTCATAATCAGAAAATATTCATTATTCAAGTCAGAATCGTTTGAAATTGTTTGCGATAACTTACGTGCTCCTTTCTTTTGAATACAGACAACTGTATATACACTTTCAAACAAGTTATATAACAAAGCGGACTTTTATTGACTGAGATATCATACTCACACCAGAATAGCCTGACAACGGTTCAGTCTGTTGTCACAAATGGCGGACATAACCGTCGCTTCAATTAGATTTTCATGAACTGCATGTTTAATAGAGCATCTAGACTGTAATTACCATACGCCGTCTTTCTAAATTACTTATATTCAGATTCCGTTTTCATTGACGATATCGAAGACGCTATATATTGTGACGATTCACGACCCATTTGATCGAATTTGGGATTTCATATTATGAAATATCATCACAAGAGTTTAATACATGCACATAATTAACGACGATAAAATCCCATGAAATGAGGACCAAGTTATTAAACAGTTGAAGTCTAACCGTTGATTACTTATTTCCTTCATTTATTTTTTACATACAGTAAAATGTAACTATTATTGAACTTGGAACACACATTTAAGTAGTTTGGCGCAGTGCCGCAACTTGCGTTTCGATCCAAATAATTTAAGTAAAACGAGTGGGATATAGAAAATCTGTACGCCTTTCCGTCTGTTTTTTTAATACATTTTCGGCCACCAATCGCCATATTGGCATTATAGGTTGGCCATCACTTACATGTAAAAAATTAAGTAAATAGTATTTAGCTGTTTGAGGACGACTGTGCATCGAAGGGTATCCCAGGGACCAGAGAGGTTTGTGCCAAGTAGATGTGTAAAAACAAGATTAATATATTATATGAGTTCTCCAGGGCTTAGATGATACCTCTTTGCTATACCTTGTTGTCATGGAGAAAATTGCTGACGATGATAAGAAGTTTTCTTAGTTCTGCTAAAGATAATGTCTCGTCACCATATAAGCCTAAAAGAAAATTAAGTTTATCATCCATGTTTGTTAGTTGGCTGATCTTATTATAAAAGTTATTGTTGACCTCCTCCATCAGGGCATGCCTATTAATTTGGCATAGAGAACACTTGAAAAATAAATGTTTTAGTGTTTCAGGTTTGCCGCAAGAACAATGAGCCGAGTCTATAAAAGTAAATTGGTGTGCAAAAAGTCTTGCTTTCAAAAATAAGTCAACACGAGCTCTGTTAATAGTGATTTCTCGGGACCTTGTTAAATTAATCAGGGACGTTGAACTGATTATTCTCTTGGGCAGATAGTGTTTACTTATTTCTTTTTTGAACGATGGTAGGGAAAATTTTAAGGCATATTCTAAAAGAGGTTTAGGTAATTTGTTCCACAGTGATATTGCATTAGGAATAGGATATTTAATAAATTGGGCAGTTGACCTTATAGAAATGTGGTATACCTCTGTATTGCTTGTTCTTCTGGTGGCTGGATTTTTGAAGTCTTCAAATATTGAAGATACATAGGAGGATATATGGTTTCTAATAAGTTGTACATGAAGTTAAGAATGTGTTGTTCCCTACTTTGTTTGTTCGTCTGTATGTCCGGGCGATAACTCAATTTTGGTTGACTGATTTGATCAAAATTTGATAAACGTGTATATTATTGATGTAGGATCTCTGCTCGAGATGGCAGCTAAATTTCAAAGGGGCCACCAATTTTTCGTAAAATACTGAATCTTTGATGATTCAAATAGGAATGGATGGAATTGATCCAAATTTAATGATAACAGTCTATTTTTAGAATGGGGATTATTTTTGAATATGAGAATATTGAATTTTTTGATTTTGTGGTTTCATATCAGAATGTAATCCATCTATTTTTCTCTTCAACAAGGGGTAATTTGATCACAAGGTAACAAGGTGTTATAACAACAAGAGGTATAAAGTTATCATCATTGATGTCTACAATATTTTACACTAAACAAGAGTTATATTTAGCTATCATTATTGTTGTGTGCCACTTCGACATTGCACCCTCAACAAGAGGTATAAGTTTATCACTATTGTTGTTTCCAACATCTAAAACTCAACAAGAGGTATAATGTTATCACTATTGTTGTTTCCAATATTTCAAACTCAACAAGAAGTATAAGGACATCACTATTATGTTTCCAATATTTCAAACTCAACAAGAAGTATAAGGTTATCACTATTGTTGTTTCCAACATTTCAAACTCAACAAGAAGTATAAGGTTAACACTATTGTTGTTTCCAACATTTCAAACTCAACAAGAAGTATAAGGTCATCATTGTTGTTGTTTCCAACATTTCAAACTCAACAAGAGGTATAAGTTTATCACTATTGTTGTTTCCAACATTTCAAACTCAACAAGAAGTATAAGGTTAACACTATTGTTGTTTCCAACATTTCAAACTCAACAAGAAGTATAAGGTCATCATTGTTGTTGTTTCCAACATTTCAAACTCAACAAGAGGTATAAGGTTATCACTATTGTTGCTTCCAATATTTCAAACTCAACAAGAAGTATATGGTTATCAATATTGTTGTTTCCAACATTTCAAACTCAACAAGTGTACAAAGATCACTATTGTTATAGTGCATACAAGAAACTCATGAGTTAAGCCTAACCCTCAATTGATCAATTGAATGGCTTCTCCTTCTACGGGCTGACCTATAAGTGATGAAACTGACATGCCACTGTAGCGCAATTATACCATCGTTATTTTATTCTAGAGACATGCATAAGTCCATATTAGGACAATTCTGATACTCAGACCATCTCTGGTTTGCAAAGAATGTTTTTACTGATTGGACACTGTGATATCTCATGATGTATAAGGATTATAAATATTACTGCATGGCAGTTAGTATTTCACCCTCTTCAACTTGGTCAGTCATGATGCTGTCCATAATATTACTGCATGGCAGCTAGTATTTCAGCCTCTTCAACTTGATCAGTCATGATGCTGTCCATAATAATATTACTGCATGGCAGCTAGTATTTCACCCTCTTCAACTTGGTCAGTCATGATGCTGTCCACTGCATGTGTAAGGGGAGTCGTAATGATCTCACCCTTTTGTATTGTTGTATCATTCACATGAACAACAATTGTATCATGTGTTTTATTATCAACACCCTCATTGATTCTTTTCTCAATAGTTTCCATTCTCTCCTCTGCGTTTTCTACAAGGTATTCATTGTTATCTATAGTTTCTAGATCCCCAGACTCAAGGCTGGCATTTTCCTGATTTTCAGAAGTTTCTAGATTCCCAGTATCAAGGCTGACACTTGGCTGAGTTTCAGAAGTTTCTAGATCCCCAGTTTCGAGGCTGACATTCGTTTGATTTCCAGCATTTTCTCCCTGTAGAACAAGGCCATGCTTCATATGCATCGATAATATATGAACCGCAAGGGTGTCCTGAGATACGAATAATTCCTCGCATAATTCACACACCCACATAAGCTCTCCGATAGAGGGCTCAGCTGTTGCGATGGCAGCCTCGTTTTCATTTTCAGCTTTTTTATTATCACGGAGATCTTCACTCAGATGTTCTTCTACAATATGGTTCTGAAGAGCTTGGCGACTGGTTAATGATTCATCGCAAGTGCTGCAATTGAAAAGTGTACCAGTCATCACAGATGTAGAGTGGGTTTCCATATGCCGAATTAACGCATTTTTCTGGGTATATCCCTTGTGGCATATATCACAGTTGTACGGTTTCTTCTGTTGATGGATCCGCATGTGAACTTGTAGTGTGTCCAGTCGTTTGACACATAAACCACATTCAGGACACTCAAAAGTTTTGTCGGAATTGTGGGTAATCATATGTTGCTGAAATCAAAGATCGAATCAATATTGTAACTTACATGTAGATTCAATGGCATATTCATTTTTAGAGTAGCATAATCCTTTGACAATTATAATTCATAGTGTGATTCTAAGGCCATGATTGACTAGAGAGGGGATTCTCTTTTATACGTCTAACTGATGTATAGTCATTATTATGGCATATTAATCTGAGATATTACCATTAATGGCTACGTTGGTATATGAACCTGAAATATGCCATTACTATTTCATGGCATATAAAACAGAGATAATGCAACAATCAAACTTTTTTTTATAATTTTTTTATTTCAAAGAATAAGCATGTTAAACTTACAGCTAAGCTTTCCTTCGACTTAAGTGCTTTTTGACACAATGGACAAAGGAATGGTCGCATGTTTGAGTGTGTCACTATGTGGTGTCTCTTCAGACTGAAAGGAATAAAATACTTATTTAGGGTGCTTCTTATATATATACATGTGCACACCACTGGTGTATCCAGAACCTAAATTTGGGCCCAAATTTTGAACATTTGAAGCCCATTTTGTGGTAATTTGACCAGAAAAGTCCCAAAAAGGCAAAGTTATGCCCAAAATGGCCAATATTTTGAGGCCCTACAACTTTTTCTTTCCTATACAATCATTCCTATCTGATGCTTCCTCTAATCCTCTCAGAAAGAAATATTTATGTTAAAAAAACAGAAATAGTCAAACATTTTACTCTATAGTTTTTGATACTTGATACATTTTAATCAAAATGGTTCTCGATTTGCTTTCTTTCTTTGTCATAAATTACTTTGAATTGTGGTGTTTCCTAATTTCATCAAGAAATATAAGGTACATTGTGTTTTTGAAAAATCACAGAGACTGAATAACTTGTCATGTCACTTTTTTTAAAACAAGACTTGGCCCTCCATTGGCAATATCTACACTTTTTCTAAAATGGCGAATACTTTAAAACTATCGAAAGGCTCTAACTACAAATCAATACACACCTGCCCTTAGTCATCAGTATTTTATTGCAAAGTTCACACTCAAAACCATCATGATCATGCATTGCTTTATGAGCCCTGAAATACAAATGTACAACCTGTATATTAACATATAAAACCATCATGGTTGTGCATTGCTTTATGAGCCCTGAAATACAAATGTTCAACCTTTATATTAACATACAAAACCATCATTGTCATGCAAAATTTTATGAGCGCTGAAATACAAATGTACAATATTTGTTTAAACATAGAAAACCATTATGGTCATGCATTGCTTTATGAGCCCTGAAATACAAATGTACAACCTGTATATTAACATACAAAACCATCATTGTCATGCAAAATTTTATGAGCACTGAAATACAAATGTACAATATTTGTTTAAACATACAAAATCATCATGGTTGTGCATTGCTTTATGAGCCCTGAAATACAAATGTACAACCTGCATTTCTAAATATACAGAACAATTGTAAAACCTGGAATATAATTGTTAAATTTGAATGTTTATGTTTAATGTATATAAAGTGACCATACGTGTAGTATACATCTATACAAATGAATGGACATTACAATTTGTAAACATTGAGGAAATCAGATAGGTAGTAGCCCCTATACTCAACTTCCTTAAACTACACTAACTACACTACACTACTTAAGTTAAAAAACAAAGTTTATCATATACTTAACTTCATTAAACTACACTACACTACACTATATTTCTTAACACTTTTACTTCAAACAAAGTTGATATTGTGAGTAAAAACATTTACAAAGGATTAATATTTTCTCCTTACATGAACCCTGAATAACTTGAGAAACTTTTGTCGCATATCTCGCAATGGTACAGCATAAAATGGGATCTTTTGTGAAGTGAGAGAGTCTGTTTAGAAGTGTATCCTTTACCACAAACCTGAAAAATAACAACCATAAAAACAAGGCGACTTACATGACAAAATGTCACCACTTTGTAAGTTATTGCAAATTGAATAGAAATAGTCCCGAAAAATGAACTGCACATAATTGTGAAAATCTTAAGTTTTATTAATTTAAGTATACATTTTGGGGTTTTTCAGAAAAAAGACTTGACAAGGAATGATAATATGAACAAAAAATGTTCTAAAAACGAAACAACATTTGTGTCAAGCACTACCATATCCTTTCTCTGACTTCTCTTTGCTAGATCTGATACTATATTTAAGGAAATGGATTCTCTTTCGAAACTTACATCACATTTCAAACTCTTCCGTGCCCCATGTGTTTTCTCATGTCTGGTTAAAGTCTGTTTGTTCTTCCATGCCTCGCCACAAATCGAACACTCATATGACCTCACTGAAAGCATACCATACATATATAACAAGGCATTAACATGACACAAAGTCACCACCTAGTTGCTCACAATATTATTTTTAGTTCAATCTTAAGTCAGATTTAAATTTCTGAGAACTCTGTGGATGATTTTGGTCATTTGAAGCAAGATGAAAAAAATACCTTTTTGGACCCTGAGAGGGTGATTGAAGGTGAAATCTCAAACCTAAAGTCAGATTTTTAAGTTCTGAGAACTTGTAGATGATTTTGAAAAAATTTGGTCAATTTGAAGCAAGTTGAAAAAAGTCCTTTTTGACCTTGAGAAGGTCACTGAAGGTCAAATCTTTTTTTGTCTTTGAGAATATCATTGAAGGTCAAATCTATAGTCAGATTTGAACTTTTGAGAAAAACTTGAAGCAAGTTGAAAAATACCTTTTTGACCTTTTTTGACCTTGAAAAGGTCATTGAAGGTCAAATCTTAAATCTAAAGTCAGTTTTGGACTTCTAATAACTTGTAAATGATTTTGAAAAAAAGAATTTAGTCAATTTGAAGCAAGTAGAAAAAATACCCTTTTGATCTTTTTTACTTGTATCTTTTTCTGACCTTGAAAATGTCACTGAAGGTCAAATCTTAAATGTAAAGTTCGATTTTGCTATTTTTCTAACAGTTGAATACTCTCAAAAATGGAAATTCATGCACCAAGGTTCGAACTTTAGAAATTAAGGGGGAAAACATATTCATTCGACACACTGTATGCATACAAGATATGCATACAAATGATGACCTGGGTCAAAGTAACCCAAAAATCCACCCTTAGGAAAAACCCGTCATAATCTTAATTTCATTTCTTAAATTGACTATATTTGTGGTGCTTTACACTATCATCCCAACACGCCCTCCTTGAAGGTACTAGATATAGTAATACATAAGAAGGTACATACCATTGGTATGTACACCGCTCACATGCTTCTTGAGATCCGACGACTGGGTAAATGTCTTGCCACATTGATTACATTCATGGTTCTTTACATTATTATGGTACTGCATATGAACTGTCAACTGAAAAATGCAATTGTTTCATATACACATGTATTGTTGAATGTCTTGCCACATTGATTACATTCATGGTTCTTTACATTATTATGGTACTGCATATGAACTGTCAACTGAAAAATGCAATTGTTTCACAGATACAATTATTGGTGAATGTCTTGCCACATTGACTACATTCATGGTTCTTTACATTATTATGGTACTGCATATGAACTGTCAACTGAAAAATGCAATTGTTTCATATACACATGTATTGTTGAATGTCTTGCCACATTGATTACATTCATGGTTCTTTACATTATTATGGTACTGCATATGAACTGTCAACTGAAAAATGCAATTGTTTCACAGATACAATTATTGGTGAATGTCTTGCCACATTGACTACATTCATGGTTCTTTACATTATTATGGTACTGCATATGAACTGTCAACTGAAATAAACAATTGTTTCACATATACATGTATTGGAAAATGTCTTGCCACATTGACTACATTCATGGTTCTTTACATTATTATGGTACTGCGTATGAACTGTCAACTGAAACATACATAGAACATAAAAACAATAGAATCAATTGTTGCACATATACAGGGTGTACATGTATTGTTGAATGTCTTGCCACATTGACTACATACATGGTTCTTTACATTATTATGGTACTGCATATGAACTGTCAACTAAAACATTCATAGAACATAAAAAACAATAGTATACAATTGTTGACCTCTCAAGAGGTCAACCGGCAAAATTGTATACCGAGACTGTTAACTGAGAAACTACTGTTGTACATATTGTTGACTGCTAATCAACCAATCAGAATCGAGTATTTCAGTTGATGTACTAACAAAATCAATTGTTGCACATATACAGGGTGTACATATTGGTGAATGAATCGGTAATGGTAGTGTACTTAATGATGTTTTCATGTAAAAATAAATGACCGCTATCAAAATATCATAACATCAATATAATGATGAAACAAGACATTAACAAAATGTCACCACCTGCCATTTAGAACAAATGCTCAACACTGCTACACACACACACACTATTTAACCACAACTACTGATCACTGGTCACAAAATTTTTGAAACTTTATCATATTTCATCACTTCTGGTGGTGACATTAAATTTTTAAAAGATAAAAAAGTATTGTTTTGTTTTATTTCATTTCAATATTTCATATTATTTAACCTCTTGAATACCCAGAATGACGGATATATCTGTCACAAATGAAATCCATTTGGAACCCAGAGCGACAGATATATCTGTCACAGAATTTTTCACTAAAACTGCTCTTACTTTGGCATTTTTTATCCAATCTTCACAAATTATGTTTTAGAATGTATATAAGGGGTCTATGTTTACTATTCTTATGAAATCAAATATCAAACATTGTGTTTTTAGATGTAAATATCCAGTAAAATAGCAGAAAATGGAAAATGCTCTGGTTTCAAACCCTTTTTAGAGGCTGGTATTCAAGAGGTTAATGATCTCATATTTACCTTGTGTTTGAAAGAGAATGCCTTATTGCAAATCGTGCAAACATGGTTCCTCACACCACTGTGAATCTTTAGGTGACACATCATGTTGTACTTAGAGGAAGCTAAAACGAGAAACATTTCAAGTATTTACAGGCCTTTGCTACCCCTTGGGTCATTGTGCATACATGAATCCTCACACCACTGTGAATCTTTAGTGACACATCATATTGTACTTAGAGGCAGCTCAAATAAGGAATATCTCAAGTCTTTAATGGCCTATGCTACCCCTTGGGGGTCAGAGGATATACAACACATACAAATAGTTCTAAGTCGATTTTCAAATTACCATATTCACAGTTAAAACCACACAGCAGAAAAGGTAAAAAAGAGAGATTGGTCTATAAATAGCATATGTGTGATAAAGCATCCATTACTTATTGATCATCCCCCCCATTTATCAATATATACAGTTTAGGTAATTTTTGAGTTGAGTATTTTCTAGCCCATCTTACAAAATTGTAATGTCATCAGCTGTTTGTTTCTTACTTTTATAAGGCTCCGCATGTCCATTGGTGCAAACATACGGCTTAAAAGATTGATGACTTTTCAGGTGCGCCAAAAGTTTTTTCCAGTTCCTCTCCTTATATGAGCATATAGTACACATGTATACTCTCTCATCTTCCAGAAATTGATGGTACATTTCATCATTGTAGGTGTATTCCACTTCAGTTTTCTGGTCATCTAATTCCGTTGTCTTTTTCACTGTTTTGAAATAAATTGATATTGTTCATTAAGGGATGATATAATGTTATAAATATACATATAGTACACATGTATACTCTCTCATCTTCCAGAAATTGATGGTACATTTCATCATTGTACGTGTATTCTACTTCAGTTTTCTGGTCATCTAATTCCGTTGTCTTTTTCACTGTTTTGAAATAAATTGATATTGTTCATTAAGGGATGATATAATGTTATAAATATACATATAGTACACATGTATACTCTCTCATCTTCCAGAAATTGATGGTACTTTTCATCATTGTACGTGTATTCTACTTCAGTTTTCTGGTCATCTAATTCCGTTGTCTTTTTCACTGTTTTGAAATAAATTGATATTGTTCATTAAGGGATGATATAATGTTATAAATATACATATAGTACACATGTATACTCTCTCATCTTCCAGAAATTGATGGTACATTTCATCATTGTAGGTGTATTCTACTTCTGTTTTCTGGTCATCTAATTCCGTTGTCTTTTTCACTGTTTTGAAATAAATTGATATTGTTCATTAAGGGATGGTGTAATGTTATCAATAGTCGTGGAAAAACAAATTTAATTTTGTTATGGTTAAATAGCTACCTCAGAAAACTAATCAACTCATATTTATCTACTAGGCAGGCCCGTAGCCAGGGGGGAGCGGAGCGAGCGGCTGCCCCCCCCCCCCCTGGCCAGAAATTATTTCAAAATCATGCAGTTTTTCACCATTCTGAGCACTTGATTTTTTGCCAAAAAATGTCAAAAAGCCCCCTCTTGGCAAAAATTTGGCAAAAACTTCCCCCTTGGTAAAACTGCTCCCCCCTGGTAAATCCTGTCTACGAGCCTGCTAGGTATATATAAGGACAACAGTACACTAAATATGCCATTCATTTTGCTCTGACTACTTTACAATTTGATCTTAAAGTAATTGGAGCTCTACAGATGCATATTATGTCAACATATACAGAAAATTCACTTTGAAGGACAAGAGAAATGAGCACTGATTGGTTTAATTATTTATCATTAATCTTAACAGTACCTTTTGCCAAAGTTGTCCTCTGGCAAAGGGTACATTAATAACCTGGATGCCGTTCATCAGAAACTGCCTGTAGAGTAGACTGTACATTTTTCGAAGCCTCCTCAGCTTGCCCAGGCTTATGCATCTCTTGTAAATGCTGATTCATATCTTCACTTGAGGTGTAAACGTAGTCACAGCCATTGTAGCCACATCTAATTTCTATCAACTGAAATACAAGCCCTGTAATGTACTAACAGCCAGTATAGCCACATATATAATCAACTGAAATACAAGAATGTACTGTAATATAGTCACAGCCATTGTAACAACATCTAATCTCAGTCAACTGAAATATGAGCATGTGGTGGTGAAATAAAAATACAAAATTTGTATGAAGTTACCTTTGTATTCTGGGCACTATGTTGTTGAAGAATATACCCATCGATTTCTGGTTCAATACTTGTAATTTTAACAGTTGGGCTAGCATCTGTTTGACTTTCAAATGTGGCAGCTTGGCTTTCTAATGTGGTATCATCTTGACTTCCTAATGAGACTCCTTGACTTTCTAATGTGACAGGTTGGCCTTGTAAAATTACAGTTTCACCCTCTATAGCACCAGATTCCATTGCTGTAGAATTTTCCTGATTTTCACTTGGGATAGCATTGCTGTCTTCTACATACTGATAAGCAATAGTCTGCCCTTCTGTTGTATTATGTTCACTTTCTACAACATTAAATAGTCCAGCCTCTGCTTCATTAGACTTATCAATAGTCGCAGTAAGCTCTTGAGCAACAACCCCAACATCCTGTAACTGGGCACTACCCAGATTAATATTTATGACGGTCTGACTCTCCTGTATGCCGACCTGATTATCCCCCGCGTCATTTCCTGTGGCAATCGGAACCTCCAGAGTCTCGATTGTGATGGATTCTGGTAGTTTGTTAGGCTCGATGTAACCTTCAACATTCACCTGCTGCTGATCATCAATAGTATGTTCGGTAGGGTTGTTATCATCTTGTTTTTGCTCGGGAATATTGTTGAGAAGATTCCTTATAGATTTAAAATTGCTTGAGCCAGAAGAGTGTTGAGTTTTGGGCTTGGATGCAGTCTCTCGTTTATTCTTTACAAAGGCTAAAACATCGGAATAAATCTGGAAGTAAATTAAATTACATAGATTCACTAGGACGTACAATATCAGAGCTGATAAGATCACAAAAACACAAAAATAGAAATGTCTTTCATTGGAGTTGAATATTTGAAATAGATGTAAGCACTTATAAATGCATAAAAATCATGTAAAGCTGAATTTTGATAAACATAATCTAATTGTTGATAATGAATGATATTGAAAATCAGTCAAGGATTATTTTTTGCTCAAGAGTACATTATTTATGAACTAATCCACAAGTGATTGCCCTATACTAAATAAAATTTGAAAAGGGTATAATTGTAGATTCACCTTCTTGGGCTTAATTTTCCTCCCAGACCTTGTAACACCCTTTGCCCCATCTTCAGAAACTTCACTATTCTGATTTGGTGCACCAATCATTGATTTTGATCGATTCACTTCATCACTTAATTCACCATTCTTTTTAGGAGACACATTAACATTCTTTTTATCAGGTGTTTTAGAGGTGTATATTAATTCTTTATTCTGACCAATTCTGACTACCCAGTCATTACCCTCCTCAGTGACTTCTGCACTCATTTTAGCATCATTACTGTTATTCTCTACTGTTTTCGAATCAACTGCGTCATCACCAACCATGTCACTTTTCTTAGGTGATACATTTTTCCTCGTAAGATTATTAGGCTTTGTGCTCCCTCTATCATCTGTATCAATTTCCTTCAGAGTATCCTTATTTTTCTTCTCTAAATGTCTACCCTGGAAACCTTTTTCCGTATTCTTACTAGATGCACTAGGCTTTTTATCATTATTTGCTTTCAAGTCATTTCCTGGATCATCGTTAACTTTTCTATTTTTCTTATTTGGTTCAACTTTTTCATTTGATGATTTAGGCTCATTGTTTTTTCCACTTGGTAAATCTTCTAGGGAAGTGAGACGACTTGATCTTGTGCGTTTCCTCTGGGAGGATCTTGTGCTTGGTTTCTCCATGCTTCTGAAATAAAGATGTTGTATGAATAAGTGAATATATGCATTTTCAATTTTTTTCCAAAAACCATGCTCAACACACACACTTAAAGGTGCAATGTCTGATAAAAACACAATTAGAGTAACCCCCTGATATTTTGGCCCTAAAAGATGTACTTTGAAGCCTCAACTTATTCCTAACGCAATCAATTTGATGATTGTTCACAGATATTACTTTTCTCCTGGGTAGTAATAAAGTCTAAATGAAATTGAAATTTTTTTTTTATTTTTGAACCACAACACATTTCTAGTTATCTTTCTGCATAACACTTAGTTACATTTGGTTCTTTCAAGGGTTTCATTGTATAGATAAAATGGTTGTATGTTGATTTGGACTAATTGCGTTTTATCCGACAGTTGGTTGTTCTGTTGATTTTCTCAAAATATTGGTGATACTGTGCCCTCAATATGCTCTCAAGATATATCTTAGGTGTGTAAAATATTATGAGCAATTATAATGGACCTTCGTGATTGTCAGGGGGACAGACCTAGACGATATTGTCCATTAAGTCTCTTTTAGACAGATATTTAATTTATTGTATTTTCTCTAATGACTGCACAGTTTTAATGAGTCTACAAATATGGTTCCCACTGAATTCTGCCAGCTCTGTCAAAAATCCAGACGATTGGGATTCGGACCATTGTGTTTCAGACCAGTTTGATTCAGGCAAATGGGATTCAGACCAATGAGGGAACTCCTTAGTCTGCATTCAGACAGACTGAGACTGACTACAAGTTAGTCTGACAACTTTATGGTCTGTCCTGTGGGAATCCCAGAGGATTTTTTGCACCAAATACATGGACTTGAGTCAACGTTTCTTACGAGGCTTACTGCCATATAATTTTACCAGGATTGGAAACAGGAATTCCAAAAATAAAGTTACCTGTTTTATTTCTCCATTCTCGCCTTAATTAGCTCTTGGTGACTTGAACTTGCACAGCTATATTGACAAGAGTCTTATAGTATCCTATCAATTGAAATAATAAATGTAACTGTCATTGAATTGATTAGGCTCATTTGACTGTGTCTTGTTGACAGGTAAGATCCAGTCAGAGTTTTGGCAATGGATGACATTTTCTGAATTATGTACATCAGTCTAAAAATCTATACGATGACCAATCAAATAGCACAATATGATCACATGATCAATCACAAGCACACGTTCTCCAAGAGTTAACCAATGATACCTGTTTTTGAAGAGGTGATCACGTGACCTTCTGCCTAAGCTGGATGCTTGTGTTTACAATCCTGGTAAAATTATACATGTATGGCAGTAACCTATAACCCAATAACCCATTTTGAAGAAAAAACCCTAGATATGGGTTAAATTATATATCTGCTTTATATGGGCTTATTAGCCGTGTTGCAGATTATTGACATAGACATACTGTTTTTGAAAAAATCGCCTGAAGTGGGTCTTGTTTTTAAAAAATTACCTTGAGCTTGAAGTGGTCTATTTTTGAAAGAAAAACCCTAGATGTGGGTCCATTTTAGAGAAAAAATCCTTATATGTGGGTAGATATTTTGAGTCTCAGCGGCATCCCTGTACACAAAAATTTGTAACGACCCTTGGGCACGCTCGTCAGGCAGATGTAGTGTACCAAACCAGATGCTAGACTTTGTAAAGACCCTTGGGCACGCTCGTCGGGGAGCTGTAGTGTACCAAGCAAGATACATGTACTAGACTCGAAAGAGAATGTGCTAAATTCAATGCCCAGTTCGGGAATCAACCCAAGACCTCCCGCTCTCGAGTCAGACGCTCTACCCCTGAACCATAAAGGCTAGCCACTACAACTGAGACTGTAGTAGCGACTTGCTATCGAAGGTTATTACAAATTTGACCAGTCCCCCCCCTGGGGGCAGTAAGTTATGTAGACTGTATCCTTCGTCTGAATAAATTCAGACTGTAAGTCACCTATTGTAAAATGTGGTGTTCTATAAATGTTACAAATAAGTTTGTTTAATGATAAAATGATTACCTTATAAAGAACTTACAATATTATTTTTTCGTATATTGTTCTCTTACTGAAGATATTCATAAAATGTACAGACGCTTCTTGTAGCGAAGCCATTGATTAGGTCAATCCATTTTGGCAATGCCAATTCTCACGATAAACGAGATTTAGCCAGTGACGTCAGTCTATAAACAAATAACACGTGGAGTGGACGGAGCAACATTACGGAAGCGTATTGATAAATTCCATTTGTGCGGGAATTTATTAGATCTAGTCATTTATTATCATTATCCCGATTAATTTTCGTCATTTATAGTAAATAGAGCGGAAATATTCATGAAGAAGGCCGAGGTAATCAAGTGGTCATGTGTTGTCAAAGTTCAAAAATTTGCATATCTCGTTTGGATCTCGTGAACTCAAACGTCCTTGACATTGATTTCGCGATCTACTTATGAACACATCCTGAAGTTTTGGTGAGTCTGAACATTTCATTATTTTATATCAACTTGTACCCGCCTTATACAAATATTTTTGCTTCTAGTTTAAGATGAACATATCTTCAACATATTCACCAATTTTCAAGGTGAACATTCTTGTAATAAACGAGAAATTTATGTGCAAAAAATATCACCGCGATTTCCACAGGAAATATATCAATCATAACAGACCGAATATCATATTCGGTCTGTTGGATACATACAGTGGGGATCATAAAGAATTGCAAAAGCTATGAAAATTACATGCTTTCGCACATGTAATAAATGTGTATGGATACATACAGTGGGGATCATAAAGAATTGCAAAAGCTATGAAAATTACATGCTTTCGCACATGTAATAAATTCTTACCTCAGTGTATTCAGTGCTCTATTTTCTCCGTCTTGGTAAGTCCAAATATAGTGGAATTTGTGTCCCTAATGACAAATAAGAACTTCAAAAGTTGAATTGGATATTCACATGTTATGCCGACTCTTCAAATGTTGAGGTGATTTTGTCGCCCGATTGCGCCAGAACGGAGGATTGGCTCCCAGAATGCAACATGACACGTGCCAGCTTTCAAAATGCTGTTCCGCCATTTTGAAACCTGTCATGGTAAATACGGTTAACTGATGTTGCATTCTGGGAGTCAACCGTCCTTGGATAACAAACATGGCGATTCATGAAAACATTCATTCGATTTGGTAGGGATTTATCCATTATTTGCAGGTATGAAGCTTTGGATTCATTTATTGTGCTACTTTAGTGAACGGGAATTATTGTTCTACCGCTTGGGAGAGTTTGAGCCACGAAACTTGGAAATAAGCTCATTTTGACAACTTGTGAACGTTGAGTTTTATTTTTGTCCCCTACTGTACTAGAGTCAGTACGTCTATTTCCAAACACCCCCATCAAAAAATGTAGTTAGCTTGGCTGTACTGCACATCTATGCTATGATTCTATATATATTATGTGTATTATCCACTGTAGAATGCATTTGCAGAAAAAATTACGAAAAATCGTAAAAAATATCTGGGTTATTCCATTTTTACTACAAGGTATTTTAGGGGGGTAATTCCGAACGGGAGTTTTTTTGGGGGGTAAATCCGAACACTTGCATGGGGGTAATTCCAAACACTTAACTTAAACTTAATTGTTTTAATTATTAGATTGATGGTATATCATTATATGATACCCTTAACTTATGATACTGGATCCTGTCACCCCTGCATATCAAGAAACCCAAATTTAAATCATTTATTACTGACATCTATTTATTTAAACGCACAGAGTTTGTGGGGGTAATTCCAAACACTAGCATGGGGGTAATTCCGAACACCTTAATCATCATAATTGATTATTTTAGTGTAAGATTGTTGGTATACATCATTATATTGTATCTTTCAGGCTATAAATATTATGTAGAGGTAGTAGAGGTACTATTATTCAATTCAATGATCTGCTTGCCATTATTTGGAACCCGTTCGTGTTTACCCCCCTGTTTGGATTTGGACGTATTGACTCTAGTAAGTTATGAAAGAAACGTTGACTCAAGTCCGCGACCAAATTATCAATTTTTAAAGGAACAATAAAATCACAATCACAAGATGAATTAGACTAGTGGTTATTATTATTTAGATAATTTCTTTTATGGTATAAACTAAAGTGCTATGAACTTGACTGAAGTTGAACCGAGAGTTGAACTTCTTGAATTTTTGTGACCCACTTTTACTTTAGACTTGCAAAGGAGGATTGCAGGTAGGCCTACAATTGAGAAATACAGTACCTCTAGGATCGCTATGTTCTTAGCAACGATGTGGTTCCAAAGACTTCTTTCCCTTTAAGTGGCAAAAGAGAATTATCCAAAGTAAGTTTGCTTTTGCTTTTTCTCACATGACGCCATTTTTGTTCTTTTCAAATGCGTAAGTTCCACGAACGCAATCTTTTCTGAAATAAACGAACAAAATGTCAAAGACGATCGCAATTTTAGAGCAACATTATATTCGAGCATGCGCAAGAGCTCGTACTTCTCTATTTTCGAGGTGCTATTTTCCAGTTTTCTAATAAAATCTATTTCTAACTCGCTATAGTTCGACTAAGTATTGTGCAGAATGTATAGAGGACATCCTAGAGGTAGCAGGGGACCTTTCAAAAGGGGGTAAGAATCTCTTTTGACAAATATAATGACAATTTTTCCAAATTTTATGTGATTTTTTCATCACTCGCCGGTTTCACCCTATGCTTAGTGAGCGGAGCTAATTTCAAGGGTGATGGTAAGACGAGGCATGGCGCCCAAAAACCAAAGAATATTAGTACCATCATCTTTTAAGTCGTATTATTGCAGCATAAGGTGATGATATTGTGATATTTTATGCTGTTTTAGAAGTGAAAGATGTTAAACTATGCATACCGTTTGTTTTACATCCAATAAAACGAATAGTTAAGATGAAACAGTCGTTTAAAGATACAATTTGAATTTACCGCAAGAAATTACAACCTAATATTGTCAATATGTCAATAATTCCTGATCGATGTCACATATAAAGATATATGTACCTAGATATGTTTTATTTTTTCATATATGCGAAATAAGGCGGTCTCTAGTTATGTACATCCAATACAAAATGAATGTTTACTAGAGTGTCTATTCGGCGATCAGAATTTCGATGACGAGCAATGGCGATGTAATTTGCGAAAAAGCATCAGTGCACCTAGTTACAGGCCGGGTTTGGGCGCCATGCCTCGTCTTTACCATCACCCTTGAAATTAGCTCCGCTCACTAAGCATAGGGTGGGTTTGCTAAAAGAAAAATGATTTTTCCAAAATTATTTGAATAATTCAGTATCATTACAAGTATACTGACAAAGTTTAGATTAGTTTCTTTTTTTTATTATTGAAATACTTTCATTCAATTAATTGATTAAAGTAGTTGAAAAGGAACATTTGTTGAACCACCCTTGTCAAATCGGGATAAGCTCATTATACCAACAGCCATGATAAGCATAACACCAATGTACATGTAGGCTATAGCCTTAGTGAAATGGAATTATGCACGTGTAACCATGATCCATTATTCCGATGCGCATTGTACTGAAAACCGTTATCCCAATACCTGTTTAATTGTTCGTATTTATGAGGATCGTAAGCTAGATTTAGATTATAAGTATTGTTGAATCGTCATTGTGCATTATTTTCAATTCATACCTTGACCACTGTGTAAGGGTGTTTAGGAAACATGAAAGTGATGATAAATTTTCTTGTCTGGGAATACATACAAATATTTCATTCTATCGTCACAGGTATTCATCAAAAATAATATTTATTAGAATGGAAACGATCATTCTGATTGTAGAACATTTGTAATTAGGTGCTTTTATGAGTTGCTTGTCAATTTTATTTTCTAGTGTTTGCCTGTATCATGGTTGTCAATTGAGACAAGTCATGTCAGTACATATTGTTTCGGTATAATGCACAGACCACGTCAATCTAACTGTAGACATCGGGGTGACATAACAAATGCATCAATGATCATGCGGTACTAACTTTAACTGTTAATTTGTCTTTTTGACTTACCAGATGTTTGAAAATCAAGGATTGCAAGTCTCATACTGCACCGTTTTTCATCAAACTTGTAGACTCTGTATAACAGAATAATGTACCAACAGAATTGCATTTTTGTTATGGATTGAAATGACCAAGTTTGAAGAAAAATGGTGCAGTTTGAGACTCGCAATGCTTGATTTTCAAACATCCAGTAGGTCAAAAATTCAAATTAACAGTTAAAGTTCGTACCAAGTGATCATTGATTAATGGTCGAAGTTAGTACCGCATGATGAATCACTGATGATGTCATCTGCAGTCTCTTTGGGGAATGATAATATTGCTTGCTGTATTGATTGACAAATTATTTTCTAATGGTTATTAGATTTGTGGTTCAAGAATCTTCAAGTTTTACAACTTTTACTCTTTAATAAACTTGACTTTTAGGCATATTTAATGCATCTGTTTTTAGTAAAACTGTGAATGCTGCTTTTGAGCATCATGCATGTTTTTTCAAGGTGTCTGTTCAAGAACCAAGGAATCGTCCAAGAGAAGCTTACAAACATGTTTATTGAGTTAGCCCCAAAGTTACTGAGACATACTCTATTTTACTAGGCACAACATACTGCCAATTAAGGGTTTGAATACATCGAGTCTGCAGATTGGCAGAGATTACCTGCAGTTTGAAAAATTCCAATTTATTCACAGCTTACATATAAACATTCCAGTTTATTCACAGTTTACATATAAACATTCCAGTTTATTCACAGTTTACATATAAACATTCCAGTTTATTCACAGTTTACATAAAAACATTCCAGTTTATTCACAGTTTACATATAAACATTCCGGTTTTTTCACAGTTTACATATAAACATTCCAGTTTATTCACAGTTTACATATAAACATTCCAGTTTATTCACAGTTTATATATAAACATTCCAGTTTATTCACAGTTTACATATAAACATTCCGGTTTTTTTCACAGTTTACATATAAACATTCCAGTTTATTCACAGTTTACATATAAACATTCCAGTTTATTCACAGTTTATATATAAACATTCCAGTTGACTCACAGTTTACATATAAACATTCCAGTTTATTCACAGTTTACATATAAACATTCCAGTTTATTCACAGTTTACATATAAACATTCCAGTTTATTCACAGTTTATATATAAACATTCCAGTTTATTCACAGTTTACATATAAACATTCCAGTTTATTCAACCACATGCCTACCATTTCTGCCTACCATTTCTTAAGCCAATGCTTTTTTATTTAAAGATCTAATAAGAGTCAATTGTTTGAATGTTTTTTTTATTTCTTTTTATTTCAGCGATATCCTACAAATGCATCTTCATCTTGGAATTGTTGGAGGATGAACAAGGACGATTGGTTTGTGGAAAGTAAACAATGAATTAAAACTATCGTACCCACATGTTACTTGCATCTTGCTTTGTTTACTTGACTGTACTTCGCAAATGCCTGCCGTGCCGAATTAGTCTCTCAGAACCCAAATGTGTTCCTTTATTCTCATATCTATGAGGATCAAAATAGAAAGCTATATGTACGATTTTAATGAACTCTTATTCTATTCACAGATGCGGTGTCGTACTACATCAAAAATGAGCTGTCGTGTTGACCTCAGCTCAGAGTTTCAGATGCGCTAATAACTTTTTACTTAAAGAGCACCCGATTATTTGCTCTCGTGTAGGTACATAGTGAAGAAATACTAATTCGGGATAATCGTCTTTTCGGCTCGGTTCACACTTTATTTTAATAATGTATATGAAGGTTGAAACAGAAATCCTGAACTAATTGCTCTATCATTAAGTGTTTTTATTATTTAGGGCTGAAATTTCATACATGTACGCTTAATGTATTTAAATTCATGAAATTCTGTTTACCAATTATTATGTATTCCAGTGTACTGTGTGTATGAAAATTGGACAGAAGAATTATTTGCCTTAAATAACAAAAACTCAGATTTCTAAAACAATTAGTTCAATAGTTCTGGAACAATCCTCATATTGCCAATTAAGGTTTTTTGCATGTGTAGAAAAAAAAAAAAATAGCCTACCAAAAATATAGTTTTGTACAAAATCTGCTTCACACCATGATATATAAGATTTTCATACAAAGATTAAGTGCCAAATTTATCGGTACAAATATATGAAAAATTGACTGAACTATAAACATGCAAAAAATTCTCATTTTACAATACATAAGAACCATTGAATCTTATCTGCGATAATTGTCAGATCGGTCGATCAAATCAGTTGGTTTTAACGGATATAGTCTATTCAGTATATTTGTGCAACACCATTTCGTCCGTGTGGTGGATATAATATGTACAGTATAATACATTTTGAAGCTAATATATACATACAGACACACATCTGTTTAATTTAGTTTGATACCATTTATGAATATCTAAGCAGGAAACATTGTGGTACACAATAAATAATAATATTAAGATAAGTGTAACTATATATTAGATTTAAATTAAGTTTGATATCCTATTAATGATAGCATTTCAACTGAAAGTATTTGTAGCAATTTATAATTGTTTAAGAAATGGAATCAACGGTGTGAAATAATTTTGTTTTCACGTTAGATGAAAGTCCACTTTAAATTGAGCGCGCAAAATTAAATATATATGAAATATTAATTGTCGGAACATATCGGCTAATCGTTTTTTCTACTAATTAATTATCATTTGATTTGAATTCGTTAATATCTGAATAATCACCGCATTTGTGAATTAATTTGTTCAAAATGAAGTGATTAATGGTCATGAAGGAAATGTTTGGACCTTTGGACAATTACTTCGCGTTTCATTTTATACTGACTTGTAAAGTCAATTTCGGGAAGCTGGATGAAGTAGGACTTAAATGTTGTTAAATATATTCACAGGTTTTTCATGTCTTTGTGGGATGTCAAGAAGTCATTTATGTCAGGTGTACACTTATGACTTCTAAAGAATCCACACTCACTCGGTTACAGCTAATGATACAAATAACTGTGAAGATATATGCGTTTGCAAATAATTTTACGAAAAGCATATATATGCGCAATCAATGTCCAAAGTTTCTTAAATGCAAAGCATCGGTTATATGTGTCAAAACTAGCACTTTAAGTGAATAAAATTGAGTATCCATCTGTATATGTACAATACAAATTGTATATGTACATATTGTACAATACAAATTGTATATGTACACATGCATGCAATATATTTATTCATTTCGCATACATCGGTGCAAAAAGAGACCGTTTTCAACTCCTGAAGCTATCAAGTATTTCAAACTTTTTGTACCAAATTAGTTTTATTTGCTGTTTAAATTTTAGTCCAAATGGCCGAGGAGGAGGACCCCCAGCCAAGAGGGGAGGCTTTTACAGTGGCCGAGGGGCAGGTGGCTCTAGACCGCAGATGGGAGGTACATTGGCAGAGGCAGGGCGGATCATTCAAGGTAATGGGATCATAGGATTTACTCTAAAAAAGTCAGGAGTCTGATATGTCCTATGTCATTGGGGTTTTTACATTTAATCTGTCCAAAATTTTCTGGGATGCCTATGGATATGCTTATTAAACTCCCCTTAAGAAAAAAGCCATGGTAACCATGGTATTCCATGGTGCGTCCATGGTAATCCATGGTTTTCCATGGAAATTCATGGTTTTTCATGGTATTTTCCATGGAAATTCATGGATACCCATGGTAATCTTCCATGGATATTTACCATGATTTTCCGTGGTAATTGGTGGTTTGGTAATTGTTTTTTCATGAACATGCCATGTTTTTACCATGACACTTGAGTTGTAAAATCGACAATTTTGGCAGGTTTTGTTTTTACTAAAATCTTCAAAATTGAATCAATATTTTAACGAATGAATCCAAGCTGGATTGAGAATTAGTCTCATTAATCATAGATAAAAGAATATGACACCCCCCCCCACCCCAAAATCTTTGAGAAAGTCAACCTTCTTGACAAAAGCTGGTTTCAGGCCTGAAATACAACCATGTTTTTACAATCTGAATATATGTTTAGTACATTCTGTACATAGTGTCATATGACAAAGAACTGTTTACTTAATATTATTTTAATTGATGATTTGACCCCACAATTAAAAGTAATAATTTGTTTGCTGGGATTTGCTATCATTTAACTTTGGCATGTATGTAAAAAAAGACAAAATAAGTGATAAAATCAGCTCACTGGATTCCCTTATTGCAGACTGAATAAACATTTTTACTTGGAGTAAATCCTATTTGGTTTTATTTGATCAACAATGAGTTTTTGACTTGCACTGTCTACACTCACAGACAATAATAATTACTGAAGAGGGAGCATTAGAAAGAGTAAGATTATCATATATAATAACAATAAAGATCAGAATATTTAAGAATTATGCAAATGAACTCTTATAATCTGTTGTAAAGAGATTAATCTTTTGACATTAATTTGAGAGTTAAGACACCTAATTAACATAGAATAATGGCAACCAAATATTTAAAAATTATGCAAATGATTATTTATTCCTATTCAAAGACAAATCAATTTTAATTACTTATACTATGTTTCATGTTTTAAGCCAAATGGTGTTGTTAACCCCCTCCCCTTCCTTCATGCAACTTCTTTTTAAATATAATATTCTTACATAGACAAATTGAATTTTTATCACTTAGGTATAACATTTCAGTTTGCAGCCATATGCTTGTGTTTAATCCCCCATCTCAATTTCAAGTCAAAATTCTGTAAAAGTATATACTTTTCTGTGGATTTTTTCAGATAATATGCTTATTAAAGTTGAATGGGACTTAATTTGGAGAAGTTCATTTAGAAACATAATGTATTATTCATTTTTCTGCTTCCAAAAGACCAAACAAATAGCCCATGGAAAACCATGGACTTTCAAAAGATCAAAAGAATAATCATGGAAAACCATGGCTTTTGATTGCACTTTCCAAAACATCAAAGAAATAACCATGGAAAAGCATGGCTTTCGATTGCAATCAACCGTCTTCCATGGCTTTTGATTGCAGTTTTCTCAACTTCAAAGAAAGAAACCATGGTTTTTGATTGTATTCTCAAATGTACGAAATGTAATTTAAGAAAATGAGTTATTCATTTCTTAAATTACTTCATATTGATTTTTAAAACTGAAAATTAAAGAAAGTATTGAAATAAAACAGAGCTTGGGCTAGTTTGACTTAATCTTTTTCAAAGGAAAGAAGTGTTTGGCCTAAAAAATAAGCAATCTCTATCTAGTCTTGATCTACACAAAAGACCTTTGCACAATTGTTTTTGAAATCTTGTGGCCTACTCTCTGCTCTGCTGTTTCACATATTTTCTCATTTGTAAGCCGAGTCTAACATTCGATGAATGTTCTTGCTATACCTTCAAAATGAAATGTCCACCCTTTTTTCTCAATGATAAGTCTCAGTCTAACTGGGATATATCATCAAAACATTCATTTTGGAGATTTTGGTAAATACAAATCCTACCAAAATTGTTGATTTTACATCTCCATGACACATCCATTAAAAAACAATTACCAAACCAACAATTACCACGGAAAATCATGGTAAATATCCATGGAAGATTACCATGGGCGTCCATGAATTTCCATGGAAAATAACATGGAAAACCATGAATTTCCATGGAAAACCATGGATTACCATGGGCGGACCATGGAATACCATGGTTACCATGGCTTTTTTCTTAAGGGTCAATATCAATAGGCGTGTGTCTTGTATTTTTGAAGTTGAAAATGTGTTTTATCATGTATGAGTCAATTATTTAGATACAGTTTATCAATCAGTTGTTAAAGTAATGTGGAATATGGAATCATATAACTTATGTTGAACTATAGAGAATAGAGATACAAGTACATGGTATATAAAGTTATCAAAATCTGCAGGATGTGTAATACAAACCATTGAAAATTTATTTGTATTTTTTAAAACATTCTTCAATTTCTGCTAGCCCTAGAAGCCCTAAGGGGGGTCAAAAGGGCACCCCCCTTGTAAAATATTTATTAATAGAGCTAGGATGTTCAAATTTTCCCCAAATATACTTCATTCAATTCTCTACAACTTGGTGTAATAACTTTAACAGCCATGATGATGTAAGATTGCGTAATTTTATTCTAAAGACACCAGTATTGTAGAAATAGTGCTAGCTTTGTCTGATTTTGTCTATCGTAGCTGATGATTACATCATAATAAATCAATTACCCTATGTGCAATTTCGTTGATTTTTCCAGAAAACATTTGTTATATCTGTACCTTCAGCTACTGGAAATTTGAAGATTCTACCAGATGCCAATAAAAAGTTATTAGGAAAAAAATTAACAGGTGGGGTCATTTTGACCCCCTTAGGGCTTCTAGGGCTTCGCCTACTTTATTAAGGCATTCATTGATTTGAATGCTTTATATTTTAGGAATCGCTAAAGGAATCATGGAATCAGCAACCTCAACCTCAGCCACTGAGGATCCAGGTGCTTACGCAGAAGATATCTTGGATGGTCAAGAAAAAGGATTTACCGATTTTGAGGGACCATCCGAGCATGAAAAAATGCTAGAGAAAGAATTAGCCAAAGCGCGACAGCAAAGAATCATGGGAACGTCAAATGTGGACAAGATAAATACAGCATTAATGCGCCAATCTATGGATGAAGGTGGTGATATTGGATTTGAGGAGGAATATGATGACTATGACATGGGACTGGATGATTTTGAAGATGAGTTTTATGATGTAGGATTTGCACCGAGAGGCCGTGGTATGATTCCACCAAGAGGGCGGGGTGTACGTGGAATGATGGCTCCAGGCTGGGGTATGGCGGGGAGGGGACGAGCTAGGGGTATGTTAGGTCCTGTAGATCCTTTAATGGCAAGACATGCAGTGATGAGAAGACGTATGATGGCCATGAGAGCCCGAGGGATGGACCCTCGTGGACATGGTATGATTCCAAGGGGGCGAGGCGTACCCCCATTGCCACTGGCAGGAGGGAGAGGACGTGGTGGAGCTGCTGTACCTCCACAGGAAGCTCCATATCACATAAAATTCTCGCGGGTCAAGCAATCACTCCCAAAAAAATTCGACGAGAAACGAGATGACCATCACGAGGAACTCGCTGACCTTTGCAACTCAAACAGACTCTCATATACACTGGTCTACAAATACTCCACATCTGCGACTAGTTCCGTCTCTGCTAGTATCTACATCGGTGCTGTATTCATTGAGAGCGCTAGAGGCAGCTCGAAGAAAGAAGCGAGGAAAGATGCAGTTGATGCCGCTATTAAACAGATTAGGCAAAAACCTCCAGATTTCTTCCAAAATCGGGGCATTCATCTCCAAGAGAAGTTTCACTTCAATAACACTGATTTTGATCACTTCACACGTGGGAAGCGACATACTAAGATCTCCAACATGGCTGGACTGATAGGGCAAACTCAGGTCTCATTTAAGGTATGCTTATTTCAAGAATTAATAAGTCCACAATTGAATAAGTTTTCATGTGATATTAAACATTTTGTACCATGTGATCTAGGAATGACGGTTGTTCTCTGTACATAAACAAATGAGAATAATCAGAAAATATATTATCAATTTCGAAAAATTGCCCATTACTAATTTTGGTAACTGACTTACAACTTGTGTCTGGCGTCACTGGTCATGTGACCTCTGATTTGGGACCTGTCAATCTTACCATAGTTGACCTTACCTATGTATTTATTGTACTAATATTCTATTCTCCCTGACTGCTGTTTATAATTTTATGAATCTAATTATTGTATAATTATTATTTCTAGGACTTTGCTGTTCTGGAGACTGATAAAGAAACCTCACCTACAATTAAGCTGCTTGAATCTGGCACATTTAGTCACTGTCTTGTACAGCTAATTCTGGAAGATGCCAGTGAACCCAATAGTGAGAGTGAAACTTATAAGTGAGTAATAGTTTGATTAAGCTGCTTGAATCAGGCACATTTAGCCATTGTCTTGTACAGCTAGTTCTGGAAGATGCCAGTGAACCCAATAGTGAGAGTGAAACTTATAAGTGAGTAATAGTTTGATTAAGCTGCTTGAATCAGGCACATTTAGTCACTGTCTTGTACAGCTAGTTCTGGAAGATGCCAGTGAACCAAATAGTGAGAGTGAAACTTATAAGTGAGTAATAGTTTGATTAAGCTGCTTGAATCAGGCACATTTAGTCACTGTCTTGTACAACTAGTTCAGGAAGATGCCAGTGAACCCAATAGTGAGAGTGAAACTTATAAGTGAGTAATAGTTTGATTAAGCTGCTTGAATCAGGCACATTTAGTCACTGTCTTGTACAACTAGTTCTGGAAGATGCCAGTGAACCCAATAGTGAGAGTGAAACGTATAAGTGAGTACTATTTTGATTAAGCTGCTTGAATCAGGCACATTTAGTCAATGTCTTGAACAACTAGTTCTGGAAGATGTCAGTGAACCTAATAGTGAGAGTGAAACTTATAAGTGAGTAATAGTTTGATTAAGCTGCTTGAATCAGGCACATTTAGTCACTGTCTTGTACAACTAGTTCAGGAAGATGCCAGTGAACCCAATAGTGAGAGTGAAACGTATAAGTGAGTAATAGTTTGATTAAGCTGCTTGAATCAGGCACATTTAGTCAATGTCTTGTACAACTAGTTCTGGAAGATGCCAGTGAACCCAATAGTGAGAGTGAAACGTATAAGTGAGTACTATTTTGATTAAGCTGCTTGAATCAGGCACATTTAGTCATTGTCTTGTACAACTAGTTCTGGAAGATGCCAGTGAACCTAATAGTGAGAGTGAAACATATAAGTGAGTAATAGTTTGATTAAGCTGCTTGAATCTGGCACATTTAGCCATTGTCTTGTACAACTAGTTCTGGAAGATGCCAGTGAACCCAATAGTGAGAGTGAAACTTATAAGTGAGTAATAGTTTGATTAAGCTGCTTGAATCTGGCACATTTAGCCATTGTCTTGTACAACTAGTTCTGGAAGATGCCAGTGAACCCAATAGTGAGAGTGAAACTTATAAGTGAGTAATAGTTTGATTAAGCTGCTTGAATCTGGCACATTTAGCCATTGTCTTGTACAGCTAGTTCTGGAAGATGCCAGTGAACCCAATAGTGAGAGTGAAACATATAAGTGAGTAATAGTTTGATTAAGCTGCTTGAATCAGGCACATTTAGTCAATGTCTTGTACAACTAGTTCTGGAAGATGCCAGTGAACCAAATAGTGAGAGTGAAACTAATAAGTGAGTAATAGTTTGACAGACTCTGTTGCAGTGATCACCCTCAAATGTGTCCTCATTAGACCTTTAATATCACCCTGCACACAGAGTCTAGTTATAAACTACCCTTTGCCTTGTATAGACTATATTACAGTTTAGCAGACCAAAATATTGGTGCCTGTGACAGCCAAGGAAATAAATCATTTCAAATCTACCACGCTGACACTTTCTCAACCAGTCAGCGAAGTGGAAGGAACAAAATACATGCTCATTAACTATGCGATAATGTCAGAGGAAATTACCAAATAGAAAGTTGTCCCTATTTTAACGACAAACTCTGATCGCCTTGGTGAGATCAGAGAGTTATTGTAAACTGAAAGAGTGAAGACAGCTCTCTTATAGGAAGTGAAGTCAAATTAATGCAAAGGGGACTTTATCTAAACCCTACCAGCTTTTGGTTTATAAAGGAAGCGGCAGTTTGTGTTTTGCAATTGCCATCTGTTACAAATGGCAGGTGGTGATTATTTTCCATGTTTATTTTCATGTTTATTTTCCATGTTTGATGTTATGTTTGTAGTTTTAAACTATATTTTTGTACTTTTTCAGGTGTGAAGCCTTCATTGGAACTCTTGGCCTACACACCATGCGTTGCGTCGGGAAATCTGGTTCGGATATAATTCATACAGCAAGCGAAGCACAGAATGAGGCAGCTCAAAATGCATTGACATATTTGCGACTGACAGCTCCAACTGTAAAGGTAAGTTAGTTGACTTATATCATGCAGAATCAGTTTTCCGATCATTTTTTAATCCAACTAAAAAACTGACACCATTTCTTGTGTTCATCATTAGATATGACCTTGGTAAGGCATATGATAGGATTTTCATAAACATCAGCCAACAGCCAATTTTTGCCTTTTTCCAAAATCCATTATATTTCTTTTATTGACAAAGTTAACTTTTTTAATGAATCTCTGCATATTTTTTCATACATTCTTTTATATTGTCAGATGGCAGACACAAACCCAACGACACTGTTTCCGAGGAATACAGATTACCCACTTCCTGTGTCAGTGAAGAGTCTGGGATGTGATGCAGCTCAACCTTGGTCCATGAATGAAGGGGCACTTGAGAACCTCGACATGTTACTGAAAGGCTTGAAGGTATTTAAATTGTAAAAGTACTCAAGAACCTCGACATGTTACTGAAAGGCTTGAAGGTATTTAAATCGTAAAAGTACTCAAGAACCTCGACATGTTACTGAAAGGCTTGAAGGTATTTAAATTGTAAAAGTACTCAAGAACCTTGACATGTTACTGAAGGGCTTGAAGGTATTTAAATTGTAAAAGTACTCAAGAGCCTCGACATGTTACTGAAAGGCTTGAAGGTATTTAAATTGTAAAAGTACTCAAGAACCTTGACATGATACTGAAAGGCTTGAAGGTATTTAAATTGTAAAAGTACTCAAGAACCTTGACATGTTACTGAAAGGCTTGAAGGTATTTATATTGTAAAAGTTTTCAAGAACCTAGACATGTTACTGAAAGACTTGAAGGTATTTATATTGTTAAAATTTTCAAGAACCTCAACATGTTACTGAAAGGCTTGAAGGTATTTAAATTGTAAAAGTACTCAAGAACCTCGACATGTTACTGAAAGACTTGAAGGTATTTAAATTGTAAAAGTACTCAAGAACCTCGACATGTTACTGAAAGGCTTGAAGGTATTTAAATTGTAAAAGTACTCAAGAACCTCGACATGTTACTGAAAGGCTTGAAGGTATTTAAATTGTAAAAGTACTCAAGAACCTCGACATGTTACTGAAAGACTTGAAGGTATTTATATTGAAGAAGTACAAACAAATGGCCCAGCACAATCTCAATCTTGGCTGGCCCTTTCTTAAACCATATAGCTCACCAAAGATGATAATATATAGTATTGAATTTATATAATGCCTGAAAATTTGTATACAAATTCATTTGCAATTGCAGTTTCATTGCAAGTGCAGTTTCATTGCAAGTGCAGTTTCATTGCAAGTGCAGTGTCATTGCAAGTGCAGTTTCATTGCAAGTGCAGTTTCTTCCAGGAGAATCAACCACTGAATGAAATTTTCATTTATGACAAAACTGCACCTAACGGAGACTTCAAGGAGATTAAAGAGTATATAAAGAAAGACTTCAAGGCAACAGAGAAAGATATAGAAGGGGTGAAGTATTTAGCCATCTCACTGCGACAGACTGCCATGGAAATCGTAGGCCACTTAGAAAAGAAAGGTATGATTAATGTTATGATATTTTAGGGTCTTATTACCAAGAGGTAATTGTCTCTTGTTTTGTAGAATTACAATTGTTTTTTAATAAGGTTTTACTTGTCAAGAACTCAGCAAGTTTTATTCTGATTATTCTACAACTCTCAAATTTTATTCATGTGATGCGATCGTATAATTTAGGGAACTGGCCGGAGCATGACATGTTTCTTAGAAATAGCAATAATTTAGTACAACTTATTTTTCAAATTGAAATCTACTTCTAATTTCACAAAACAAACCAATCCATGAATGGCCATTGTATTCATAATTTTGTGGAAAAAAAATTGTAGGAATTTTGTTTGAACCTGGTCCTGACCCTATTGGCATGAAATTGGCATAGATTCCTTTACTTTGAAAGATTGAATTTTCAATTATAACTTTTTGCAACATTTAAGTTAAGATTTCTAGAAAGTATCTGTCATATTTTGCATGTTAGTCATGAAACACCTCTAATTAAAAAAAAATTATATTTTTTCTCATTCTTGCTACGCTCTGTAACAACTGTTTCTCCTTTGCCTTTGGCACTTTCTTTTGCATACATAAGTAGATTCCAATGGCATTCCATCACATGTACTAAAGCCTAAAGAATGCTAAATATCAAAGTGATTGTTGTTGCAGATTACAATAGTGCCCGCTACACGCTACAAACTCCTTCCCTGGAAAACATTGATGGTCTGATTGTGAGTCGCACCTTCAAAAATAAAACCACTAATTATAATAGACTGCGTAAGTTGTTTGAGGATTCAAACTATGATGACGTAAAACACCACCTGGCAGAGTTCTACTTTGAACTTCAGAAAGAAATGTTGAGTAAGTACAAGAAAAAAGACTGCAGGTTGTTTTAAAAAGATATGAGTGTTGATCTGAAGAATCTGCACTGTTTGTTCAAAAAATGTTACTATTTAATGAATGAAACACTTTGGTCCTTACGATCCCTCAGGTTGATATGCATATCTCCCTCTGGATAAACCCCATATCCAAAACCTCCCAGTACATAACCCTTTTGTATGTATGAGTAGTGAATCAACAGCTGTATAAATGATGTACATCAATGCCACATCATACCATATTATCCCAAGTAATAATGAATATTATTACAATTGTACATTATTTATTAGATGAGCCCAGCTACCAAGCAGGCATGATCTTACAAGAGAGTTCCACATTCTCATTGGCTAAAACGGAGCACGCCTTTGAATCAGTGACTCTGAAAGGAGGCCTTGAGGTTACAATGTAAGTATTAACTGTACTATTTCATGTATTTGTTGACCTAGAAGACCTAATAATAGAGAGGTTAAGCAACACTACTTTTTACAACGTTAACCGCGAACAGGAAGGCGCACGCAGGTTTTTCTCAGGATGTGACGTCATATTGTTCTACTTATTTCCCGGTTTACGTACATCCAAACGTGAAAAATCAAAGTCTAGGTAGGTCGTTCCGTAAAAGATTTTTAGTACTTTATCAAGTTTGATTGAGATAAATATGATATTGGTAGAATGCATGAATATGTTTGACACAAATCTGTGTTTATATCGCGATCATTGGTGTCCAATCTAATCAAATATAACTTGAATATTGAGGCACCCATTTCATATGTAAAATCTGATGAGATTACATGCATGGCAACTGGGCATGGCAATATTGCGCACATGTCAACTCATCTTAATTCTACTATACATATTGTGACACCATAGTAATAAAACTATGAATGCTTCAAAGACATTAAAGATATTATTGTTGTATTATGTTGTATTATGTAAGATTCAAGATGTCATAGAACACTGCCAGGCTGTGAAACATCTCCTTTGGTAAACACTTTCATCAATTTGTCAATAAAATGATATTTTTTATACTTTTAAAGTAGAAAATAGAACGAAGGTCGATAAGAAAAAAAATCATTTTGAGGTTTGCTCAGCTTAAAGCACTTTTGTTCATAGTACGTAAACGGGAACGTAAAGGCTTACGTTTGCGGTTCAAATCATAAAAAATTGCCTTGCTTAACCTCTCTAATAGTGCAATATTTACAATCTGGAGAAACTTCTTATATTGTGTATCTCTTGTGGAGAAAATACTTAAAATTCATGATTAATAATTAATGTACTTATGTATTAATCAAGCGTATTTTAAGATTATTATGAATATGTTTTTATAGTATTGTAAATTTACAAATTCCTCATGTTATTAGAGGAGGTTTTCTGTCACACACTACATATTACTAGAGGGGTCACATCGACCCAAAGTCGACCCAAATCTCGGGTCATAGGGCTCGGTTCGGGTCACGAACAACTTCTTACCAATTTTGGGTTGGGTCGGAACACTCAGAATTATAAAAAATTATCGTAAAATTCTTTATATTTCCTGCAAAATTTCAAACTTTTGGCTTTCTTTTTCTTGAATATGTATAAATTACGAATGGGTATAGTTTGTGTTTGTTTTCTTTTGACACAACCGCACACTTTTTTGCTTGCCCAACCCGAAAGATATCTGACCCGTGACACCTCTACATATTACAGAGTAAACCCTGAATCCAAACACCTGACTAATCTTAACACCTCCAAATCTGAACACTTTTTTGGTCCCTTCTCTCCTACCATTGACTCCCATGTTAAATAAACTTAGAATGCAAATACTAATGTAGATGTACCTATTTTTGCTTATGTTCTAGGTGCAGCATAAGAGTATTTGATATCCTTGTGGGTCGGGGACTTGGGTCTACCCAAGCGGAGGCTAAACACTTGGCGGACAAAGTAGTCTACAGAAAACTACAGAAACTATGTTGGACGGTAAAAGTAAGTACCCTAAGCATCGGCATTTACCTGATGCTTGGAAAATACTAACCGGTTGACTGTTAGTTTTCAGAGAGTATCGAATCACCCGTTTGAACCGTTTGTACCTATTTTGATCTGCATGTTATATGTTGGTGATAATTATGACAAATGAAACCTGCCTCCTACTTTTAAGCAATTTGGAAAAAATTACCTCACATTTGGTCAGATTTATATGAATGAAGTTGACACCATTTTTAGATCTAATGGCACCTATTGAGCACAGTATAAATAGATGCTAAAAATATATTTGTGAAATTGGATTTTTATATCATCACCACAAGTGGTGACATATTATTATTGTGGATGGTGTTTAGCTGTCAGGGTTTGGGTCTGTAACAAATGGCTGGTAGTAGCATTTTGCATGTTAATGCTTTGTTTAAGACTTGTGCCAAAAAAGGGAAACTTTCTAGATAACATAAAACTGACTGTTTTTTTTCATGGTATTAATTTATTTCTAATATTAACAATTACAATCGATTTCAATTAGCTAATTGGCAAGGTTTTACAACATTAGCGTATGTATGCAGATATTAGATATAAAAATGAAAAGGTTGTTTGTGTTTTTTTATTCCAAAAACCCTGACTGACTGTTATTTCAGATTCATGATATTGCTAAGAGAATGGAGTTAGAAGAAACATCTGAACTGTATCCAGACATTATAAAACCAGAGGAACTGTTTTTACCTATGCCTGATGTACCAACGAATGATCGAGACTTCACAGTGGTGGAGATGGCCAAGATTGAAGAAAAAATGGCAACTATGGAGGTAGGTTATGGTTAAGACATAATGTATTCAGTCAATGGTTACACTTGAAAAACAATATTTTGAAATTTCGGTGTTAGTTTCTTTGTATATTACTATAATTTTAATTATATTTTGTTGTGTATATCACCAGGCTTCAGATGATGACCTGGTTTTTCATCAAGGCTTCAATCAGCGTGAAAAACAACGTCTGCGCGAGATATGTGCCCCATTCCCTCACCTCTCTCATAAATCAAAGGCAGTTAAGGATCACCTTATATTTAAGGTAAGTTTTCCGCTTAGAACTTATTTGTTTTTGTAGAGTTTGTGAATTGCATGGATGAACCAGACGAGGTCTGAAATGTGTTTTAGTAAATTACCCTTATTTGAAAATATGATAAAAATGGCCATTCACTCAAAATGGATCATAATATTTTGAAAGGAGGCTCAAAAATGCCAACAATGTATAGATCACATTTAAAAGATTCAAAGCATATTCAATGTTGTAACACTTTAAAAGTGTATTTTGCAGTTATTTTTACATGTGCGTGAACTTAATATTCAAATGAAACATGTCTTATAAATTTCATTTGAATTTACGTGTAAAACACCAATGTTGGTTATTTCAGACCAAATATCCGGTAGAAGACATATTCAAGGCTGTTAAAGCATTAGGTGGAAAGACGAAGAAATATGAACTGATTGAACCAGAGTATATGCAATTTGTCAAGGCAAACAAGTTTACGCTGGATGAAACTGAATCCAACCAATCAGAGGTGAGATACCATTCACTGCTTTTTGAAGACATGAATCAAAATGACAATTACATAAAAAGTAATATTCATACCGTACACTGTATATTTATATAGTATTTTATATATTTTCTTTTGGATATCCATGTTTAAACTTAATACTGATCAAGGTAGAATTATAACGATTTGCAATATGTTACAAAATGGTGAAAATATTTAAAGTACAAAAATGAAAAGAGAGTTAAATCTCTCAAATGATAAATTCACTAGCCTAACACATATAATATTACCAGGACTAGAAAATTCAACAGCCAAATCAGTGAAGAAGGGGATGATGAACAACTCTTGAAGGATACTATAACCTCATTTGACCAATGTTTAACTGTTTGATTATTTTTTTAAATAACATTTATTTGTGTTCCTTTAAAATTAACTTACAATCAACATCAATCATACAAAATAAACATACATGTTTACAAATTTGATATTTTTTGTTTATGAAACTCGCTTTTTATATTACCTTACTGTTTGATATACTTGAATTTAGATTACCAAGACCAGGAAATCAAAGCGCCACTTTAAAGAGCTGATTATTGTTGAAATAGATGGTGAAGTACCCTTAAAGGATCCTATGACATCTCTAGACAGATGTGCAGACTTCAGTAACATGCTCTTAGAATACAAACATATGTCGGCAGTCATTAACAATGACATGGTTCACCTGTAAGTCCTATTCTGATACTTTAGGGTATCAGGATATTTTCAATTGTTAAATAATTTTTTTCTATTGAACATCAGACAATATCTAGTTATTTATAAAGATTACAGAATTGCCATCTTTGGAAATGGATGTTTAAAAAATGAAAAAGTTTTGAGTTGTTACACAGAATACTGAATACCTTAAACATGTTAAGTCCAAAATAAGTGTTCCATTTATGTTGTAGATGTTGTGTGTCCTTAGAGGGCTACAAAGTAGCATTGAATACCAAATACACAATGTATCAAATACTGAATACCTTAAACATGTTAAGTCCAAAATAAGTGTTCCATTTATGTTGTAGATATTGTGTGTCCTTAGAGTGCTACAAAGTACTATTGAATACCAAATACCCAATGTTTTAAATACTGAATACCTTAAACATGTAAAATCCAAATAAGTGTTCCATTTATGTTGTAGATGTTATGTGTCCTTAGAGCGCTACAAAGTAGCATTGAATACCAAATACACAATGTATCAAATACTGAATACCTTAAACACGTTAAGTCCAAATAAGTGTTCCATTTATGTTGTAGATGTTATGTGTCCTTAGAGCACTTCAAAGTAGCATTGAATACCAAATACACAATGTATCAAATACTGAATACCTTAAACACGTTAAGTCCAAATAAGTGTTCCATTTATGTTGTACATGTTATGTGTCATTAGAGGGCTACAAAGTAGCATTGAATACCAAATACACAATGTATCAAATAACTGAAACATGTTAAGTGCAAATCTCCAAATAAGTTTTTCAATTATGTTGTAGATGTTATGTGTCCTTAGAGCGCTACAAAGTAGCATTGAATACCAAATACACAATGTATCAAATACTGAATACTTTAAACATGATAAGTCCAAATAAGTGTTCCGTTTATGTTGTAGATGTTATGTGTCCTTAGAGCGCTACAAAGTAGTTTTGAATACCAAATACACAATGTATCAAATAACTGAAACATGTTAAGTCCAAATCTCCAAATAAGTTTTCCGTTTATGTTGTAGATGTTATGTTTCATTACAGGGCTACAAAGTAGCATTTAATACCAAATACACAATGTATCAAATACTAAGTACCTTAAACATGTTAAGTCCAAATAAGTGTTCCATTTATGTTGTAGATGTTATGTGTCCTTAGAGCACTTCAAAGTAGCATTTAATACCAAATACACAATGTATCAAATACTGAATACCTTAAACACGTTAAGTCCAAATAAGTGTTCCATTTATGTTGTAGATGTTATGTGTCCTTAGAGCACTTCAAAGTAGCATTTAATACCAAATACACAATGTATCAAATACTGAATACCTTAAACACGTTAAGTCCAAATAAGTGTTCCATTTATGTTGTACATGTTATGTGTCATTAGAGGGCTACAAAGTAGCATTGAATACCAAATACACAATGTATCAAATACTGAATACCTTAAACAAAAAGTCCAAAAGTCCAAATCTCCAAATAAGTTTTCCATTGATGTTGTAGATGTTATGTGTCATTAGAGGGCTACAAAGTGGCTGATGGAAGAGGACTTACTAAAGACCAAGCAAAGGCACATGCAGCTTCTCAAGTATTTGAAGCTCTACCTACTAATCCAAGAATATTGGTGAGTTGAATTTTATGTTTTGGACATAATTCATAATTGAAACACCATATAAGTGATAACCCATTCAAGTAATGTAAAATGAACTTTTGTAACCAGAACACCTCTCAAGTTTACTTTTGATAACTCTTCTTGGCTTACTTTCTTCTTATTCAACTTTAATTGCCTCCAGAAAAAACAATGTTTCTGGAGCCAAAAATTTCCCAAGTTCAATAAAATTGAAAAAATTAAATAATAAATTGAATTTTATAAATAACAATTCAAAAAAATGTTTCAGAAAACAATTATTGGATGTCCATTCCCAGAGCAATCAGAAGGAGATGAATCTAACAGTGTATACACAATCAAACCCAGTGATCTTTTCGACAATGACGACGAGAGATTTCTGAAGAAGTTTGAAGACAAAACTAAGCTCAAGGTCCTTCTGGGTCGCTGTCAGCTAGAGGCATACTGCCACCCGGACTTTGTTGACGATGAACGCGACTTCATTCAAAAGGTTGCCGAGGAAAGTGGGTTTGGAACTAGTATTCATTTCACAACAGACACCAAGAAAAAGTATTTGCTTTTAGAACGCAAGCTGCAGGGACATGATCTTGTTAGAAGGCTTAAAACTGGTGGACTTAAGACCACCTTGTATAAGATGTCATCGCCATAATGCAACATGATCAAATATATCCATATAATGTTAACAAAGACGTAGCGTCATATATGCATAAAACGCCATGTGGTACTCTCAAATTTAGAGAAAAGTTGATTTTTAAATTAAATTACTGGAATATCATTTACTAGATCAAAAAATTATGGCAGTGATGTATCTAAATAATATGGATAAAGATCATTCCATCCCCTTCAACCTCTTTTGGAGGGGATTTAATATTGATTCATACAATAAATACATTATCCTTATTATATCAACCATGAGATTTCTATTACTATTATTAAGTATGTCTATTAACATTTTGTTCATATAAAAACTGATCCTTGGAGGGGGAAGGAGGGAGAAATGTACAAAAAACATGATTTTTGGCTCACACGGTGAGCATATGGGATTTGACTAGTTACCGTATTTTATGGTCTTAGATATGTTATCCTAAACTATGGCCAATCATGATATCAGTCTATCTTAAAAAAAACAACCTCAAAATGCCATGTAATGCTACATATTAAGATAAAGCCACAAGCACACTGTTTTACTATTTAAGGCCTGAGACGAACAGTACATGCATAATTTAAGGAACATTTATGGCAAATTGCAAATTTCCAGGGTACTAGCATGTAGTTTTGCTGTTTATTTTCATATTAATAGATATTAGTTCTTTCAAATTTGCTAGAATTGATAAACTCGTTAACTCGAATCGATTAAAACAAATGTAAGAGTTTCTTTAAAATATCTTCTCAGTTGTCCCCCATCTCTGTCTCGTATTACATGAGGGAAACATTAGTTAACCAGTTATTATGAAGTTTTTTCAAGACAGTCAGGGAGAGTTTGTTAGCCCCCACCCGCCCTCTGCCACCCCTCTCCCACACACACACTGAAGAGGCAAAATCCTTTTTCTCCATCATTGATATTTTTTATAATTTGAAATTAAAGATTCATAGAAAAATAAATATTCATAGAAAAAACGTTATCCCTGATTTTTCTTCACTAAATATCAAAATTTCTTAGAATATACACTTATATACATGTATATACTTATATAAAATCCTAAAAGTCAATGTTAACAAAAGGATGAGTCTGGGAATGAGTCTGGGTATCGACTTAAAAATATTGAAAATTGTAATGTCTGAAAAACCAACTCAATCACACATATTATTAAACTTCAATACCTTATCCTTCTTCTGAGATTACAAAAATATCAATTTGTATCACAATTGATGAAGAATATTGGCATCAAAGACAGTGCATATCACTTTGTCAGAATTGAAAAAAATCAAAGGCAAATATTAAATGAATTATTTATGCAAAAAGTTTGAAACATATCTTCCAAAACATTTTTATCTGGGTAATCAAGGGATTATAGTCACTCAAAGTTACTGAGCATCCAGTTTTGAGACTTCAATTGTGTTGGTGATGTTACACATATTTCAGTCAAATTCATGCTGAGCACAACATTTTGGTTCCAATTTTATAATCTCTATACATGACCCTGGTGATGAAGAGTCAGAATCAGTCAAAAAACCTAAACCGGAAAACTGTGTTCATTGTGAAAACTAAAAGTGAAGCAACTTTTTTCTGATATTTCTTACATCAAATGGCAACCATCTTGTTTTTCCCCCTTCAAATTAAACTGGCGGGAAATTCAAAAATTTGAAAAAAAAATGTAATCCTTAAACATATTTCAAAAATATGATTTTCTTTTTAATTCTTCATGGGTCGTTAGTTATTTCTTCTTTGTATGTTATACATGTTGCCATTGGCGTTTTTTTCTATGATAATGACTATTTTTGTTTTTGTTAAGATACTAATTCTGACTCTCAGCAGGGGGTTAATTATGCATCAAAACTCATGAAAAAGTAAATATACTTATCAAATATAACTAGGACAGTAATAAAAACCATATTTCACATACATTTGACTGAGGGACCAAAAGGGCATATACCCGGACACATCCTTTGAAAATGTGGATATTAAAAGGGTTAAAATATCAATTTTGGGACAAAAGGTGACTGAGAAACTTGCTCGGGTATACATGAAATGTTAATGACTTAATTTCTGCAGTGATTCTAAAAAAAAAGATGAAGATCCTGGACTACCCCCCCCCCATCTTGCTTCTTAGCTGAGTGCAAAAAGATTTTTTTCTCACTCGTTGATTATTTTTATGATTTGAAATTCATTGAATTTATAGAGTGATATAAGAGCTATCTACCTGAATTTTTTCATCAATAAATATGAAAAGATCTTAGAATTATGACAAAATATCTTCAAAATCCTTGTTACCAACATTGAGCACCACTGGACATTAACTGATTAAAATATTGATTTTGCAGGGAGATATTAAATAAAAAACATTGAAAATAATTTTTCGTTATATCTGCTGATTGTATAAAGTTATTTAATGGTGGTATATGAAGAACTGTCCTCAGAATATTGTTTTTGCTTTGACCCCCTGCTACCCCCTGGGGTAACTTGCTCGAGTGCATTTTTTCATTTGAAACAACCAATATATTCATAAAATCACAATGGTTTAAAATCTGCAGAGATTCGAACAAAAAATAACGAAGAGCCTAGAATACACAGGTTAATAGAGCACCTCTGGACTCAATTCCTTTGGAACAGCAATCAATCAAAGTTATGAGGTCATATCTAAGGTCTTGGTGTTTCCCTCCTATTCGTAAGAATGCTAAAATATGTTACATGGGATGATCGTGGTATTGTTAAAATATATGAATTGATAATGCCTTGTATGAACATGACAATGTTAAATTGTATGACAATGCCAGGTATTATCGTGACAATGTTAAATTGTATGACAATGCCAGGTAAATTGTATGACAATGCCTGGTCGTGACAATGTTAAATTGTACGACAATGCCTGGTATGATTGTGACAATGTTAAATTATATGACAATGCCTGGTAGGACTATGATCGTGACAATGTTAAATTGTATCTGAGACTAACATGATGGTCACAGATTGTATGACCATGCCTGGTATGATCGTGACAATGTTAAATTGTATCTGAGACTAACATGATGGTCACAGATTGTATGACCATGTCTGGTATGATCGTGACAATGTTAAATTGTATCTGAGACTAACATGATGGTCACAGATTGTATGACCATGCCTGGTATGATCGGGACAATGTTAAATTGTATCTGAGACTAACATGATGGTCACAGATTTTATGACCATGCCTGGTATGATCGTGACAATGTTAAATCAGTGGTTTCAGTAACTTTTTTTACAAGAGGCAGATGAGAAAAACAAGGAGCGGGATTCAAAATTACCAATCTTACACTCCCAGCAATGCAAATTCTTGTCATTATAGCGTCCGCGCACCGAAAGTGGACAAATGGACAAAGGCCTGGACAGGGAATGCCTAAAATAAATTCACATTCTGATGTGCATTATGCTATTGCGTATGACGGAGACGCAGACGTATCTCAACATATACTCTCGAGAGCGTCATGTTGTATTGAATGTCATGTATGTTTTTCAAAAATGTAATAAATATCTGAATCTGGAGTTGTTGCTGTCTGTAAGCTGCCACCAAATGTAACCGGACGAAACGGGGAGGGGAATGGGACTTTTCAACAGAGCTTGTGAGATCAAATATAGCATGCAACACATATGCAACATGACAAGCAATGTAAAAATATACAATATATACAAATGTTTATTTACATAAAATCATCATAGAGAACATTATAATCAAAGTAGTATTATAACATACCTATGATGATGTTTAGTGCAAAGTGTACACAAGACAGCGGGCCAATATAAGTTTTGAAAAGCCCGCGCCCGCTAACTTTCTGATTGGTCAAGGCGCTGACGTCATAGCCAATCAATCGAAGATAAAACTGTGCGAGCAATTTTTCTAAACTCATTTCAATCATTTTCAATCCATTTGTTTGTCAATTCTATAAGAAAACGGTACTCTCTGACCAGTCTACATCATCATAGGTATGTTATAAATCGTTTATGTCACTATCGTGGCACATATGCCCTCGGTTCTCAGAGATCAATGTCCCTCCCAAGGTCGGGCCATATATCACTGAGACCTCGGGCATATATGCCACGATAGTGACATAACCTCTAAATATTGCACTGAGAGAAAGAACAATGGTAGCAATTATGATAATCTAGTAATTTAATCTTCAGAAATGTAAATGTCTATATAAAAAGTCTTTCAAACTAGCACTTTAGAAATATCAATATAAAATGTTTGTGAGACTGGAGTTTGAAGCGTTCTCCCCAGGAGAAAGCCTCTTGGCATTGTCACGGTTATACCAGGCTTTCACGATAACACTACCATGGTCATGGTAGGATCCTTGCGAAACTTAAAATCATTGCAATAGATAGCATGTGATTTCAGCTGATATTCCTCTTCAAACGTGGTGGATCTTAAATATCTATGAGTGGGACTCCCAGTATAGAAGCTTTGAATCGAATTTACACTTCTTAATGCTGAAAATGATAGTTTATCCACACATTTTAAGAAAATAGGTATGTCAAACCAAATATTGACCTCATAGCTCAGAAAAATGAAAAAAAGTCGAATTTTCTCTACAGTCCTTGTTACACGCCTAACCATCGACGAGGTACAGTGACAAAATATACCGTAGTACACTTTAGATGTACGAAGTCACTATTTAACGGATTTGAAGCAAAGACAATGATGCAAGTGTGATGTCGGTTTTAAAAAATTAATCTTTGGAATACTTGAAAGACATGTTAAATTTCTTGTGTATTCGTTTAGGAAGACATTTAACCCCCCTATCACACCAAACTAGTTCTTACCCGTTCTTGCCAGTCCTACGAAAATGTCGTAAAACGGGCTCAATCTGGCTGCGGTCGGGATATATGTCTAAAATAATTAGCTACTTCGTTCATAAACAGTCTTCAATACGTCCATCTCATTCGCAGTTCGTTCAGGTCGCACCATGTCGGTGTGCAACGTAGTATAAACCGTCCCTTAGTCTAGAAGGTCATCATGACCTGATTACAGAACGGTATTGTCGCCATCGAATTTTGAATCGATTCAAAATTCTAAATAACATACCCCGTCCTGGAAAGTCCATGAAGTTCGTAAACAAACCGTAGAACGTTGTAGCTACGTTCATTCAGTTCGCACACAGTTTAAAACCGATTCGGCAACGTTT